GACTTTAACTATTCTATTTTCAATTTCCCCTACTTATGCAGCAATATACCTTAATCACCTGCATACGGAGTCTAAATATCTCAGTTGATTCGATACGCAAAAGCATGCTCTACGTATGAATAATTTCTAAAACGAGATAAATTATCGACAAGTTGATGAAACAAGAATATCAGCAGTCTCGTTTAAAGTCATCATTTCGTAAGTTCTATGGTCGATACAATGACATTGTCAGCAAATACAATTTATCATTGAGACAAAGCTGTGCTGTCTGACGTTTTCCGTACCAATTGTTACTCCATATTTAGTTACATGTGTATACACTGAATTGACGACAGATTTTCCCTTTATATCCTGATCATGACAAGAAGCACACGGCTGGTGTGACCGGTCAACAGGGGATGCTCACTCTTCCATGGCACCTGATCCCACCTCTGATGTTTCGGAGGTCCATGTTTGCTATGCTCCTGTTTTTTGTACACTTTTTTGGACTTTGAGATTGAATATTGTTCGTTATCTCCACATCCTTCTTGAATATTATAGCTGGGTACAGTATAACTAGAAAAGAAAACAAAGTCTCATCCAAGACATAAACAGCAGAATATCATGTTACAGAAACTCCACGGTTGAATGTAGGAAACGTAGACATTCAAAGTCCTAAAAAAAGACATACGTTACAATAGGAATAAACTTGGAAGCAAACAACAATTGGAGAATTTTTTTTCGAAAACAAGTCCACTGTTCTCTCTGTCACGTGATATCAACATGGTATCACAGATTCACAGTGTTTGTTGAGGAGTAAGATTCAGACCAGTCGTGTTCTCCTTATGATGATCTGGCACACGGGAAAAATAAAGGCATATAACAATATGCCTAAAAGTGTAAGTCTACATTTGACAGAATTATGGTTTGTATTTGCTAAGAAGGCAATTGGTTTTGATCATATATAGCACAGTCAAATGATGACTTCAAAAGATACTGTTTATATCCAGCCTAAGCTCTTTTAAGTAGCCTTTTATTCGTTAACAAAATTAATTTAATTAAAAAATGCATGATCTCTCAAATAGAATCGGGAGACACCCAATATGCAGGTGATATGAATATATTGCTACAAAAATTTAAATTAGAGAAGTTAACTCGGGAGAAGTTCAAGGCATCACGTTTATCACAGAGATTTATTGTCAGGATAACATTTTATGTCTTTTTCTAGCCAAATATCCAAATACGAAATAGATGTGTCAAAGTCTGCGATATCTTTTATATTGGAGCTTCAAAGGGATATTATTAATTCATCTTCGGAAGAAAGTCAATATTGTTAATTGATTAAACATAGTCGATACATCTTGATGTCGTATTGAAAGTTAAAACGAGAGACGTATACCTTTCATGTAGAGGTTTTTGAATAAATTATGCTTTAAATGAATACAAGAATTTGTCTGCAGATTATAATAACGTGACACAATAAGTGTCCAAGGGAATTGGAAGATTTAAAATCCAAAAAACTTAATATAGGTAATGTCAATCTGAAACTAAGTCATTTTCTTTTAATATCAACATCAATGTTCGTGTATGAAAACTATAAATGATTTCAACAAAAAAATGCTTCTAATTACCAATAACAAGGTACGTATTTACAAATTTCATGTTTATTACAAAAACAGTTCTTAATGATATCAAAAATCCTTTACTTTAAATTGATTTAGTTGATAAAAGCGTTGAAAGTTTTTCATTTTGATGTTATTGATTTTAGTTCAATTTGTGTTTTCAAATTTCTCTTCTCAAGTTCTCAGACATTTTAAGACAATTTAATTATGTCTCACCCTTAGTCCCATTTTAATCTCGGCTTTGTCCAGTGACATGCTCTTGTCCTTGTCAAACGTGGACAATAGATCCATCGGCCGGAATCCCATCAGGCGCGCGAACTCCATCAGGACGAGGGTGGGGTTCTCCTGAATCAGTCCGTCCTCGTCCTGATCGCCGTCCTGGGGGTCCTGACCCCGCACCATGCCGTACAAGATTTTTATCCCCCGCTCCGAGTCCAGTTTGTGGGCCGCCTCCGTAAACGACAGTTCCACCAGCTGGGTCTAAATTAACAACCAGAGGCATGGCTAAATGAATTTCTAGGACTTTTTTTCTTGTAAATCAAAGCTTATTAAAGCTCTATTCTAAAAAATTCTTAATTTAATCTTATGTATTTTACAGGTGTGTGGAATAATCATGCAAGTAATATGTCAATATATGTATTGTAGTATGCATTAATTTAATGTGTTTAGCTATGATGAGGTTTTGTTCAATATCTGCTATGATATGCAGAACCAAAGTGTTTCTAGATAGCGCCTCAAGTGAATATTAATTTCCATCAGTCCTACATCCGGGCGCTCCTCGCACATGTTGAGCACCAGTTGCGCTCCTGGTGATGTAATTTGTATTGTATTTTGTATTGTGATTGGTCGAGGAGATTATTTTTCTTTGAAATTGTCTTTTTGTCATTGAATTCTCATGAACATAAAATTGTCGATGAAACAATTAGATTTGCGTTGTAAATAATAAAAAATAAATACTTATTAATACAATACATTTGGTAAAGTTAAATAATGAAAACAATCAAAATATGTTCTCTATTTATTTAATTTGTTTTGTGAAAAATGGAATACATGTATTAAAGATTTAGCAAGGGTGAGAGAACTTGTCCAACAAGTGTTACTACATGTAGCAATTAATATCTTAGACAGGGCAAACAAGTTATGCTCATCTTATGCCAGGTTACAATTTACAATCATAAAACTCATTCAGAGTTATGTTTCTTTGTCTAACAATTGTGATAGTTTCCAGTTAGTACTTTTTTATTTTATGTTGCGTCCTAATCCACGTCCATTCTAAGAATGTTCTGTTCGATTTACTGTGACCCCCCCCTTCTCACATTGAGCGTTTTTAGGGTGGAGTTCTGATGGATGTACTCTGACCCCCCCCCCCCCATCCTTTCCCTGAGCGTTCTGAGGGTGGAGTTCTGTTTGATTTACTGTAACCCCCTCCTTACCCTGAGCGTTCTGAGGGTGGTGTTCTGTTTGATTTACTGTGACCCCCTCCTTACCCTGAGCATTCTGACGGTGGAGTTCTGTTAGATTTACTGAGACCCCCCTCTTTACCCTGAGCGTTCTGAGGGTGGAGCTCTGATTGATTTACTGTAACCCCCTCCTTTCCCTGAGCGTTCTGAGGGTGGAGTTCTGTTTGATTTACTGTGACCCCGGGCCCCACCTCATCTTTATCGATCTGAGGGTGGAGTTCTGTTTGAATCCTTTCAGTAGTTTCTCCAGACAGTCCTTGTTGATCCTGTTACAGTTCAGGTTCAGTTCCTGTAACCCTGTTTACTGTAACCCCCTCCTTACCCTGAGCGTTCTGAGCGTGGAGTTCTGTTTGATTTACTGTCACTCCCCTCCCCTTACCCTAAGCGTTCTGAGGGTGGAGTTTTGTTTGATTTACTGTAACCCCCTCCTTACCCTGAGCTTTCTGAGGGTGAAGCTCTGTTTCATTTACTGAGACCCCCCTCTTTACCCTGAGCTTTCTGAGGGTGGAGCTCTGATTGATTTACTGTGACCCCCCTCTTTAACTTGAGCGTTATGAGGGTGGAGTTCTCTTTGATTTACTGTAACCCCCTCCTTACCCCGAGCGTTCTGAGGATGGAGCTCTGTTTGATTTACTGTCAGCCCCCTCCTTACCCTGGGCGTTCTAAGGGTGGAGATCTGTTTGATTTACTGTAACCCCCCTCCTTACCCTGAGCGTTCTGAGGGTGAAGCTCTGTTTGATTTACTGTGACCCCCTCCTCATCTATATCGTTCTGAGGGTGGAGTTTTGTTTGAATCCTTTTAAGTAATTTCTCCAGACAGTCCTTGATAATCCTGTTACAATTCAGTTTGAGTTCCTGTAAATCTGTGTTGACTAGGAAAGCCTCCACCAGCTGTTTATCCTTGTTTTCTTTAAAGAGTCAAAGTTAACATTCGTACTATATCGCTATATTAGAGGCAGAAATGTGTATGGAAAATATTCATGCCCAATTCTAAAGTCCATTTCATTACAACTCTGTATACTTGATTTACATATACTTGTATGTCAATGAAACAACGACTAACGAAGTAAATATGCTAAGAATAATTTTTTAGCAACAACTGAATGAAAACAAAAAAGTACATGCTTAAAATATAATATTTCTTCCTGATGAATGTGATGAAAGCGTACACATTCACTACGTATAAATAACTACTTATTGCAATGCACAAGAGTATCAATAAATGTTTTAATGAAGACAATCTGTTAGACATCTCAAAAAGTACATTTCTCGACCAATGTTAACAGTATATGGGCAGTAAATTATCTTTAACTATAAAATCCACCAGTCCTAAATTTTATATTCTTCAAAAACCTTATTTTGGAGACAGACATTGATAATTGACATCAAAGATGATATTTTATTATGGATCAAATGTATAAATTAGCAGTGCAGTTTGAACACTTGAGGATAATTTTCACCTGGTGTAGCCTACCTCCAGTCCCAGAGCCAGTTCTTTACCTCCTCTATTACGTAGATGATTCCAGCTGAGATCAAGCACCTCCAGTTTGTCTGCATGGTAACAATGGTTATGTGTGGGTTCAGCATGCTCTCACTTTTTGGCATTAAGGGTGTAAACATTTGACAAATGAAGTGTTTAAATTCATCAATGAAGGATACTGACAATTAAATGTACAGTATATGAGTGTTTGTGCAGGGAATTTCAGAATTAATCTGATAAATAATTAAGTATGGTTAGGGAGGGCTTGCTTTAGCATTGCATGTCAATGTTTGATGTCTTGTCTCATGTATATGGGTGATTCTGTGTAAAGTTTGTGGGACAATTTCTACTTTATTGACATTTATTCTGTTAATAAAATGAAGTTTCAAGGCTTTTCTACTAAATGCCTACTGTTAATTATTATACTTTATAAGCTTGCCAGGTGTTCATTTCCTATTTTCATTAGACATTTTAAAAATAGCCTGGTAGAATTATTGTTCTAATTATTTATATTAACATGCAGGTATCAATGACTAAATCTTTTGAAAAATGCTTCAAGTCTTTTACAAGGTTTAAGGGTAATCTGTCAGACCTGCTCAATGAAACTTATTGAATCTTTTACCAATGTCAGAGTATCTTTTGTAATTCAGACTTCATCATCTGTTGGATCAGCACCAACTTTGGTTACCATGGTAACATCAATGCCCACAGCTGTCACCACTTCTGGTTTATCCTTCACTTCATCATCACCTTCATCATCTACAGTCACATCAGGTAAAAAAAATCATCACCTACAGTCACATCAGGTAAATAAATCATCATCTACAGTCACATCAGGTAAATAAAAATAAGATCATCTTTTGATGTTTTAATATTAGAGTATGCAAATGATCTTGGATATTGTATAGGATTTCAGATTTACCATCTTTACATGTACATCTAAGGGGCCTGTTTTATAAAAGAACTTAAGACTGAGAGAAAAATGTATGGTGGTTTTAGAATATTGCACAATTAATGATTCTATTACATATTGCCTTCATAGATATATCCTTCTCAATCCTATTTGAAAAGTTTTTTTTAAAAACTTTGTATTTACGTGTAAAAGAAAGTTATTTGCAAGATTACAGTTTTGTCTTTTGTAAAATTGGACCCAAGTTCTCTAAAAAATACTTTAGGATTTATGTATTATATGGTAAAGGATGATATATTTTTAAAACTTTTATACAAATCTGTATAATAATTTCATCCCCTGCCTAAGAAATTTATGCATTATCTTGATTTTCATTTTTAACCTTTCACTCCAAGGCATACAGTTATCAATTATTTCATGAAGTATTTTGGCGTACTACAGAGTCAGTGACTTCCCCCAGTACTGTTATCACTGGTTCAGGAGGACTCTTATCCCCCATCATAGGAATCACCCCCTTTGTACAGGGAGGAGTAAAGACTCAACCTGGATCTAACATCAGACAGCCATCCTCTGTTCCTCTTCTACAGGTAAAGTCTAATAAAAATCTAATCTAAGCTTCTCACCTTAATATCTCTCAGGTAAACACAACATCTCAATACAGGTTAAGTAAACATCTCAAAAGCAGATAACTTCAATACTAGTATCTCACTTACAGGTAAATAATTCTCACACACACATATAATCTCACAGTGTATTAACAAGCTCCTCATTATGTATTTTTTGGGTGATGTTGATCTTGAAAAGCATTTAGGTGAAGTAATCATCCATTTAAATAAATATCTGATAATTCAGATCCAGGGACAGCCTGGTATACAGTTAGTGGGTCTCCCTCAACAGAGGGCGCCAGGGAAGTCAGGAACAGGGGTCGTGACCTCCCAGTCTGGTGGTAAACCAGGGTCATCCCTACCGACAACAGGTAAGGTGGAAGCCTGATGAACTGACTGAACAAATTCTGCTGTGTACTTAATTTTCCAATTTTTTAAATGTCTAATTAAGAGGAATAGTTCTTGTCTTAGTAGCAGAATGAATATAAAATGGTGGAATTTGCAAATGTTGTAACATTTTTTGTCCTTTCCCTTATTACAGTGCAGCTGACAGCACAAAACATTTCCGGACACCAGTTAGCTACCCTGTCTCAGTTCAAACCTAACACACCACAAGGGGGCGCAGTTCCCCAACAACATATGCTACAACTACAGCAGCTTCAGTATAAACAGCTACAGCAGATCCAAATCCGTCAGCCGCAAGCTGCTGCTTCTCCACCTGTTAGTAAACCCAAGAGTAAGAAACGGACCACACCAAAACCCAAAACAGTAAACACAAACAACACGGCCCAAACAGTCAAAACAAAAAAAACCAAGACAACAAGAAACAGACCACACCAACCCCACCTAAACAGTAGAAACACACAACAACACCAAGACAACAAGAAATAGACCACAACAACCCCACCCAAACAGTAGACACAAACAACACCAAGACAACAGGAAACGGACCACACCAACCCCACCCAAACAGTAGAAACAAACAACCCCACCCAAACAGTAGACAAAAACAAGCCCAAGACAACAGGAAACGGACCACACCAACCTCACCCAAACAGTAGACACAAACAACACCAAGTCAGCAGGAAACAGACCACACCAACCCCACACAAACAGAAGACACAAACACAACAAGAAACGGACAACACCAACCTCACCTAAACAGTAGAAACAAACAACACCACCCAAACAGTAGATATAAACACAACAACAAGTCAACAAGAAATAGACCACACCAACCTCACCCAAACAGTAGACACAAACAACACCAAGTAAACAAGAAACGGACCACACCAACCTCACCCAAACAGTAGACACAAACAACACCAAGACAACAAGAAACAGACCATACCAACCCCACACAAACAGTAGACACAAACAACACCAAGTCAACAAGAAACAGACCATACCAACCCCACACAAACAGTAGACACAAACACAACAAGACAACAAGAAATAGACAACACCAACACCACACAAACAGTAGACACAAACACAACAAGACAACAAGAAACAGACCACACCAACCTCACCCAAACAGTAGACACGAACAACACCAAGACAACAAGAAACAGACCATACCAACCCCACACAAACAGTAGACACAAACAACACCAAGTCAACAAGAAACAGACCATACCAACCCCACACAAACAGTAGACACAAACACAACAAGACAACAAGAAATAGACAACACCAACACCACACAAACAGTAGACACAAACACAACAAGACAACAAGAAACGGACAACACCAACCCCACCCAAACAGTAGACACAAACAACACCAAGACAACAAGAAACAGACCACACCAACCTCACCCAAACAGTAGACACGAACAACACCAAGACAACAAGAAACGGGCCACACCAACCTCACCCAAACAGTAGACACGAACAACACCAAGTCAGCAGGAAACAGACCACACCAACCTCACACAAACAGTAGACACAAACACAACAAGACAACAGGAAACGGACCACACCAACCCCACCCAAACAGTAGACTCGAACAACACCAAGGCAACAAGAAATAGACCACACTGACCCCACACAAACAGTAGACACAAACAACACCAAGACAACAAGAAACGGACCACACCAACCACACCCAAACAGTAGACACAAACATAACAACAAGTCAACAAGAAACGGACCACACCAACCTCACCCAAACAGTAGAAACAAACAACACCAGGACAACAGGAAACGGACCACACCAACCACACCCAAACAGTAGACATAAACAACACCAAGACAACAGGAAACAGACCACACCAACCCCAACCAAACAGTAGACACAAACAACACCAAGATAACAGGAAACGGACCACACCAACCTCACCCAAACAGTAGACACAAACAACACCAAGACAGCAAGAAACGGACCACACCAACCTCACCCAAACAGTAGACACAAACAACAACAAGCCAACAAGAAACGGACCACACCAACCCCACCCAAACAGTAGACACAAACAACACCAAGACAACAGGAAACGGACCACACCAACCTCACCTAAACAGTAGACACAAACAACACCAAAACAACAAGAAACGGACCACACCAACCCCACCCAAACAGTAGACACAAACAACACCAAGACAGCAAGAAACGGACCACAACAACCTCACCAAAACAGTAGACACGAACAACACCAAGTCAACAAGAAACAGACTGCCCCAACCCCACCCAAACAGTAGACACAAACAACACCAAGTCAAGAACAAACGGACCGCCCCAACCCCACCCAAACAGTAGACACAGTCTGTCAACAATAAAAACATAAACGGACAACTCCCTCAAGCATTAGACATGCCTACTTTATACAGCCTCTTCCACAACGGACATTCTCAAAAGTGGAAAACAGATAACACTTACTCATGCAGTGGACATGACTACATCTTTATGTCTACATCTTGATGTTTACCCTAATAAAGACAGACTGAAATGCTCGCTTCCATCTATCAATAAACAAATCAAATCCCGCTATTATTCTGCAATTATTGTAGCAAATTAATTAAGGTTCATTGATACTTTGATAAGAGAGATAACTCTTAATGATATCTTTTTTGTCCAATTTTGCCCCGCAAGCTATGCTATAATTGTTCGTATTTTATTTATAGAATACAGTTCTTTTGGAAAATTATTAAGGTTCAAGCAACATTTTATATGAGTGAGCAGAGGGTTTATGAACCTTAATTAAATGAGACAAATTGTAAAGTTTATTATATAATTTACATAAACCATGTCTATAAATGATATTAAAAGAAGAGAAAACAAATTTAGTTGTATTAAAATACATGTACAACCTGATTTGTTTGTCAACAGAAATGATGTTCCGGCATATTTTTGCTTTATTTTGAATCCCTCTAGCTTTGTATTAAACATATTTTGTTAGAACTCGAGGATGCTTTATAGATAATTAGTTTTGTGGTTCTGTTACACGTTTCTTTGAAATCTGAGCAAACAGACTTATAGAAGTATGTATAGCTGATGAATAACATGACTATAACTTTCTAAATAAATACAAATGACTATTATCAACTTATTGCTTTGTAACAGGTGCAGTTTAATAAGAGTATGTAGACTTAATTTTTTTTTTTTGAAGGGGCAGAGGGGGGGTGTACTTTGCTAAAACAGAAGAATATGTCTGAATAAATCTACATATTTCCCCTTTGCCCTATATATGCTTTTATTGAAAACTGATGGGCTGTATTGACCAAAGATATATTCTGAATAACTTGACAACACAAGAGGCATATGATAGTAAAATATAATCACATGTTCTGTATTCTCCAGCTATGAACCTCCTCTCGTGCATTTCTACATATATGTACATGGAAGATTATGACAAATACTAAAATTTAATTCTTAATGAAAAAAGAATTAAAATGATAGTTGGCATGTTTAATATGCTGTGGTTAGAGCGTCTTCTATCGAGTCTCGGAGTAAGGAGTTGTTCCTTCCTTCGCGGGTTCGAATCCCAATGAGGTTTTGAGATGTTTCACATTTTATCAATATCTAGGCACTGTAGAAGTTTTGATATGAATGAAAATTTTTAAACATTTTAAGTATAATATGTTTACAAAAAAAATATCGAACAATTTTATTTCCATGCTTTAAATAGTTGTGTTAGAAAAATCTTAATCGTAATTGTTTTTACAACAACCTTTACACTTGGGATCAAAGTCTACATACTCCCTCTTTTGAGGCGTAGTACATGTATGGAGGGGGTGGGGGGTGGGGGTGGGGCTAGGGAGACATTATTGTAGTCAAGACTCGGCGTTAGATTCGTCTATAATTCATTGAATAATGTTATTACAGCCCATTAATCAAGAATAAAAACTCTTAAATTTTCTTATTTCCATAGATTAGGTGCCTGCACTTCATAGATAAATATTATGAGCTATGTTGAGTATTACTAAGGACTTCCAGCACAACACTCTAACCTTATTTTACTCCTATAGAAAGGATGCCTGGTTCATAACGAGAAACATTATGAACTTAAGGAAAACTGATACAAACAAAAATAATGTGGGTGTCGAAATTGGTGTATTTTTTAAAGATCTATTTTAAATGATGCAAAAAATAAATTTATGAATTATTAAACAAAATAAAATTAATACATGTAAAAGAACAATTAAAACATTATTTAAACAATGTAAAACGATGTAAACTTTCTGTCTTGTTTAACGTTTGTTTAAAATTCTATCTCTCTGCAACTATATCCTTATTAATCTTAACAAGTTTTTTCTTCACTTAACATCTCATCATTGTTAAACTTTGAATCTTTGCATTTAACTTTGAATGAATTAAGAATCAAAATCTTTGCATTAAACTTTGAATGAATTAAAAATCAAAATCTTTGAATTAAACTTTGAATGAATTAAAAATCAAAATCTTTGCATTAAACTTTGAATGAATTAAAAATCAAAATCTTTGAGTTAAACTTTGAATAAATTATTTAGAAATCAAAATCTAATGTGAAGTTAAACATTAATTTTACGTTTATTACAGTTACGTGAATCTGTGCTTGTTTGTATACTGCACTGACATGTACAACTATAAGTGTTTTTTTATGCCCCGCAATGAATATGGCCGGGGCATATAGTGTTTGTCATGTCCGTCTTCCATCCTTCCGTCACACTTTGCGTTTAGCTTTGTTTAAAGCTAAGTTTCAAAGAAACTATCCAAGATATTTTCATCAAACTTCATATGCTGATAGATATTGATGAGAGCTATGCAACTGCATCAGCATTTTTTGACCTTGACCTTTCCTTTGAACCTTGACCTCACGTTTCTTAAATTGGTGTTTAGCTCAGTTTTAAACATACCATTCAAAATGGTGTTATCAAACGTCACATGTTGATACAAACTTGCACGGATGATGCATCTCGGGATGAACACTACCAGACTTGCTTCGGATGCTGGATCTGACCTTATTTTCATTCCCTAGTAACTATAAGCCCTGCCTGATCCAAACTTGCATGCATGATACATCTAGGGATGGACACTACCAGACTTGCCTCGGATGCTGGATCTGACCTATATTTTCATTTCCTAGTAACTAGAAGCCCTACCTGAACCAATCTTGCATGGATGATGCATCTAGGGATGGACACTACCAGACTTGCTTCGGATGCTGGATCTGACCTATATTTTCATTCCCTAGTAACTACAAGCCCTACCTGAACCAAACTTGCACGGATGATGCATCTAGGGATGGACACTACCAGACTTGCTTCGGATGCTGGATCTGACCTATATTTTCATTCCCAAGTAACTACAAGCCCTACCTGAACCAAACTTGCATGGATGATGCATCTAGGGATGGACACTACCAACCTTGCTTCAGATGCTGGATCTGACCTATATTTTCATTTCCAAGTAACTATAAGCCCTACCTGAACCAATCTTGCATGGATGATGCATC